CATCAGTGCTATTTGAACGAGAGGAACGCAGATGTGTGTTCCAAAACGTGCAGAAAGAGAGAGAAAAAGACTGGCAGAAAGTTAAAAATAGCCGTTCTCTCTTCTCTCGATGCTTCTTTCCGCGCGCACATCGTCTATCATTTCACTTGGGCTTCTTTCAGCCTACACTCTTCCCTCAAATATGGAGGAGTGATCGGTTACTACTTGAGAATCACACGAGCGAAATTCACATGATTATTATTTGTTTTAAATATTGGAAAATATTCGATAAATCAAAAATAAAATAAGAGAGTAGTCTCGAGTAGTTTATCGAGCCTCTTTCTCTCTTTACTTCCACAAAAAGTCCACAAATCGGGCAAAATATGCATAATTTTTTTTAATATGGATAAATTAGAAACAGCAAAAAATTTTTACTTATTTCTCATTTTAATTTACACGTGTCAAAAATGAATGATCCCATGATGAATGACGCATCCATATTACAATAAAAAAAAAAAAAAATAACTAAGACCAACGATTGTGCAAGACAAAGAACGATTCTTTCATTGTGAACGTTGTAGCGATATGTTGCACAGTAGAAAGGTGAACAAATTATTTATCAAGCAACCGTGTCTTTAATTATATCCGAAACAGTACAGTAGAAAATTGGTTAATTTCGAGACGATGAGTCAGTCGATATGGAAAAAAAGAAGAAGAGAAGAAAGAAATTCCTACCAAGAGAGAATCTACTGTGCAATGATTCCGAATCAAGACTTACTGAAGATGAAGAGAGGAGACACATATACACACATACACGAACAAGCGATCCAACAGCACAGGCGGAGAATTTACGCGACAGCGAGAATCGAGGGGTCTCGTCTGCCCTTGAAAGTTTTCGTCTACGTGCCTGACCCTCTTTACCCGACACTGAACTGAACTGTCCTTGACGGTCGGAATGGTTCACGATAGCCAGCAGGAGCAGAGAGCAAACGACAGAGAAGACCTTAAACTAAACCTGCCTCCCCGAATGGAGGGGTCCTTAACGAAGTACGAGATGGATATGGAGGGGCGCAATCGAGACTAGTCGGCGCCACTGGACCATCCTGCACGGATGAACGCCCATAGTCGATTGTTCTCCGATCTCACGAATTTCAAGGACGTCTATGCGAAACCGGCTGCAAGAAGAAAGAGATCTAGGAATTTTCTTTTTCTTCTTTTTTTCTTTCTTTCTTTAACCAAGCTACTTTGCCAATCTCTTTCTTTCTCTCTTTCTTCTTCCCCCTCCCTAATGCGATCCTCTCTCTTTCCACTTAAATGTACACTCTCCTTTCTTTCTCATAACGCGATGGTTGATCATCGCGATGGTCATCGAGATTCACATACCATTTCCGTTCATTTTGCCCAGATGGAGTCTACGCGTGTATCAAGACTATAGAAAAATTTTCGAGAAGAGACGAACGAAAAATTTATCTTGTCTTCAAAGATTTTCATTTAATTCATTAGATATTTTCATACTTCTTAAGATATTGTCAAAATTCTTTCATGTATGAAAATATTATATTTGTTACTCGAAATTTTTAAATTTTATCCATCTTTCATTTAAAAGGTTTATATAAATTAATATTGATCTAAAGTGCTTCATTGCAAAAACATTCCAATTAAATGCTCACTGAAAACTCGTTTCATCTATGTGCATCCTGATCGCGTTGGTTACAGTCAGCTTCTTTGTCAGAAAGGGGGAGGTGTTCCAAGTATATACACGACACGCATGTAAAAGAGAGAATGTAATCCGAACAAAGAAATGCGTTTTATTCTGGTCGTGCCGTATATCGTTGTCCCGCATTCTTAGGAAAGTTACGCATCTGGACGAGCTCGATACCAATATTCCGTTGATGTGATAGGTACGGAGGAAGACATGACTACATAAACTCGTAACCACATAAATATCAAAATGTACGATCATCAAAAAGAACGCAAAGAAAGAATGAAATAAAATCTTTAATGCAAAAAATTATACGATTTCAAAGTTTCCGAACTTCCAACAAAACAATGTATGAATACAATTCTAGAAAGAAACATGCTTTTGTTCTGATTAAATACTCCTGGTAATGAGAACTCGCGACAATGCGGTATGAGGGCAATTGGAAAATCCTAGAATCAGCAATCTGCGTAAAACCACGAATCGGTAGACCGCGACGTCGAAAGCAGCTGCACACTGGCCAGAAGAGACCACACAAAGTACATACGTGTACACACAAGTTTGAGAGAAAGAAAAAGATAAACGAACAGATAGAGAGATTCACCATGAAATAGAAGATTTTCCAATGACCATGCTCTAGTGTCCAGTAATGTACGAAACGTGAAAGAGAGACGCAGCGAGGAACGATTTACACATCGTTACAAAAAGAAAACGTGTATATGGATATACACAGCAGCAGACAGACAGACAGACAGAGATGGCAATGTTCGGGAAACGAGCGAGTGGAGGGGGTGCAGACAGGGGCGGGGCATGTCGCGGAGGGCCCCGCGCTCGAGGGAAGGAGGTAGGAGGTAGGACGGAGAAGGGTGCCTAGCAACAGGCCTGCCGGCAGCCGGGCAGAGCAGCGTGATTAAATAAAACCAGCGTCGGGCACGGCGACCCACCAGGCGTTGACATCAGCGCGCACATGTACAAGAGGCCTTTTCGAGTACTCATAAAAGATAGAGAGAGAAAGAGATGGATACGAGTCTCTCTACGCACCGATACATCGAATAGAGGCATCGTTGGTGTATGCGTACCACGAGGCCGTCCCGGTACCGAACGCACGCCTTCGAACCGGCGAATTCTCTCGGCCCACATGACTGACTCGCCGGCTGTCGGCTGGCCGCTGCCTACCCGTTTCCCTGCCTTTTCTGCCTTCCTTCACCGAGACCACTCCATCTCTAGTCTTCGATTCGAGAAAGTATTTCTTTTGTTTTTTCTTCGTGATTCGAAATTCAACCGGTCTTTTATTCAAGAAAAAAGAAATGGCGAATATTTATATATAAAAAGTTTTTTATAGGAATAAAGATGTGAAATGCGAAGTATCAATTTTATGATAGTAAGAGAATTTGAAATAATTGAACATAAAAGAGATAAATGAGAAGATGTGAAAAGTTACTTAAAGTTTGACTTTGATAATGACGCAAGTGAGTCGTACGATTAGTAGGAACGTTAAATCAAATCATGTTCCTTATATGGAAATCGTCGAATCGTGCAATCTATAAATATCGCCAAAATATTGACTTTTCGATAGTATTTAATTTAAACAGATACGAAAAGTGTTTCAATTACGAAAAATGTGTCTAAATAAAAATTTACTTTTGACAAAATACACACGATTGCTTAATCTTATAAAATATATTTTCTCCTAATTTTTCAAATTTTCTGTATAAGATTTTAACATAATGAAAGTACAAAAATTAATTTAAACATAAAAGCAATTTATCAAAAAATTATATTTATCAGAAAATATATAATATAATAAATATAAGTAGAAATTATTAGATGTTTTGTTATATATAAAATGATCAAACATACCAAATTTTGCTTTTTATTTTTAAGATTTATTTCTGTTTAAAAACTACAATAAGAAATATTGTGAAAAAAATAACTAGAAATAAACGTTAGTAAATTTTTTATAAACATATGAATATACACAGTTACATGTTTTGCAAAAGGTGTTCGCGAAATGTGTCAACATGTTAACGAACGTATTGACACCTGCAATAACATCGTTATAACAAATTTATATTACTGCCTATCATTATTCCTGTGATAACTCGATGAAAAATCAAAATTTTTAATAATAAAAATCAAAAGTGATATGATAATAATGATTCAAAAAATAATAATAGATTTTAGAAAAAATAATAATAATAAAATGAGCCAAAAAATAGCATGATATAAAACTTGTTAATATGTAATGATTAATTATCAGGATTATTTGAAGAATCCTTATATAATATAATAATAGAAAGTAGAATTAAAAAGCGCATGCGCTTTTATGTTATTAAAAAAAAATTAAAAATTCTTGGATAAGCAATTAATAACGTTCGGGACGAACAAATATTTTCCCGTCACATATAAATTTTAATATATTATATTTTTGAAAATCTCAGAAATTGATAATTTTATAAACTACATTTAGCAAATTACTTTATCGAGAATTGAATTTACCTATGATTAAGCTTTTAACGATTAATTTAGGTCCACATGCATAGAAAAATATATCACTATATAGCCAAAAAATTGCTATAAGCTTGAAATAAAAGAAAATTAAAATAGTACAAACTAAATTCTGATCTGTGTTCTACATTTTTATCTTGAGTAGTTTAAATTTTTGCTAAATTTAAAATTGTTACGTAAAATCAATATAATACTCATGTTATATGTTAGAACGAAGAATATGGTTGGTTCAAGTTTTCAACGAATAGCAAAGGGGAGTAGTGTTAAGAGGAAACGACCGTTAAGTGGTATAGCGAATAATCGTGCAGCAGAATAGTCTTTTGTACTTTACTATCGAACAGTCTCCTTTTTATATTTTACTTTTTTTCATAACATCGAATTGAGAACCGCACATTTTTACTTTTATTAAAAAATTATTAAAAATAATTCTTTTTCTATCGATATTATCATTTCAAATCTTATCAATTTTATATAAAATTAAGAAAATAGAAACAATTGAAAAAATTATAATTTTGAATATGAATGTATGAATGAATCAACGTAAGTTTAAAAATAAAAGATAATTTACAATATAAAAAATAAAAAAAACTAGAAAGATAATTAATTTCAAAATAAGAAAATCGAAATTTTTGTAAAAAATATGCGCTTTGATTTGATCGTTAAAGTTGGTTTCTTAAATAACTACTCAATTTGTGATTAACGATTTTTGTAACGTTTCAACAATATAATATCAAAAGAATCGATATCGAAGATCCACGAAAATTACAAGCTTGTATCAATAAAATGATAAAGCGAAAACAAGCGAATAATTTACCTGACTGAAGTGCACGTGTTCGTCTCTTCCGGTGAGCAGCGAGAAAGAGGTTATAACCGACAGGTTAGCCGGCAGCGCACCACTGTTACGTGACGTTTCCTCATTTCTTTTCGCCACATCAATCGCCATTTCTTCTATCGAATTTCGGTCGACATCACCAAAAAACTGTTGAATCACTATTCCTCTTGAAGAATTGAAATCAAAAGACTGGAAGATTAACTGATATGCGGACCTGAACCAGCAATAGCCGGCACGCGTGACAGTCGCGACTCCAAATTTTTTCTCGACGCGATTCGTACCCCGGATACTAAGAAATCTGATTCTTGTTACTTTTTTTTATCGTTTTTTAATTTATTTTTCAATTGCGTGTTTCACTATTTCCAGAAATATAACGAAAAACTTTCCACAAAAATCCCAATCGAATTAACCCTCGAGCACCTGAACGGTGACAATCGGCAATCGTTCTTTTTTTCAATCTTTGAATTCATGCTGCTTCAACTATATGATAAAAGAAGCAGAAGAAGAAAAAGATGATGATGATGATAATGAAGAAGAAGAAGAAGAAGAAGAAGAAGAAGAAGAAGAAGAAAAAGAAGTGAATTGAAGAAAGCATATTTTGATAACAGAACGAAAAGTATCGGAAAATCCGTAAATCTATCTTTTTCGCAAACATGCTGTGTTTGACGATGAACTTGCGAAATTCGGAGTTATAACTTATTCAAAGTATCGATGTCTTTTAAGCTCTTTCTTTGTTTCTCTCACACGCATATGCTCTCTTTTTCTCTCTCACTCTCTATCTCACGCAGCACGCTCTCTATCTCGTTCATGGCCGGTGGAAATGGCCGCATTTTAACACGTCACCAAACACTCGACAATTCGCTCGCATACCAATATACGTGGCAACGAATAGTACACACTTACGAATTCATGGTATTAGCGGATAGATTTTTAAAAAGATATTCGTCATTTATATAAAGCACATTATTACAAAAAAACTTAGATTCCATTATTCGCAGAACCAATAAGAAAAAAGAAAAAAGAATTGTACGTGCAGAAAGGAGCATAGAAATTAGGAAACTATGCAAAATAGATAAGGTGACAAGTAGGAAAAAACTAGCGAAGACAAAATCGGTGGACGATGGACGATGATGCAAAAGATCTCCGATTGGAGAGCGAACGCAGAACGATGTGCGAAAATACCTCTTTCACGAACAGCCGGCGACGAACTGGCCGATTGGCCGTTGCACGGGGCGCAAAACTGCCGGTCTCGCGGCGCGCCGCTACTACCCGTTCTGACGATGTAGATCCCACTGGGCGGCCCGATCCTAGACGAGTGCGCACGAGGCCGATCGGAGCTAGCCGAATTCGACCGGAAGCCCACCGTACCGAGAACCGCCGAAGCGCGTCGAACCTTTGTACTTTCCGCCCATCTCATCGGGAATTCCTGTCGGAATCGCCACGGTCGCGCCTTTATCCGTGCGTGCAATTCACGGTCCTGCCTTTGCAAATGTTTAAGTGTCGCGGGACCATCGACTACGGAATACACCAAAATTTAGCTCTTTAGCTCGTTCTCAGAAATCATGAAACATCTTCTCGCGTAGTGAAATTATGTATATACTAATTGCCATATCTTTACGATGTAAATCTTAATGACGTTTAAAATAATTTTAAACTAATTTAGATCGCGATAATACATTTTTCATTAAAATTGTATAAGATTAAATAGTAATCGAATTAAATAATAATAATAAAGATTTATAATAATCGATTCGATTACTCGAATTTTATTTTCATGAGAATAGAAAGACGTAGAGAACGTTTCTATTTGTTGGCAAAACTATCGATCAAGGAATTGTTGCAGCGAAACGCGCACACTCGAGGGCTTCGTTTCGTCGTGGTATTAATGCTTCGATATTCTGAAGACTTTGCGGTATACGTGTACGGATATATGCACGTAGTCCTTAGTCGTGTTATTACGCGATCTGGTGCAATTGGAAGCGCCCGGCGCCAATCTCTTTCTTGCCTCATAGAAATTGCAACGCGCGCAAAAGTAATATTATCGTATTATGGTTTTGATATTACTTTATTCTTTCTATATCTTCAAGAATATTGTGCGTCCAATTATTGAAGAACTTTTAAAGTGTTCTGAAATCGAAGCTAAATGGAAATGTAAGCTATGAGCGTAATATAAAACTTCTTTTGACGCAAAGAGGAGAGGGGATTCTTTAAAGAGTCACGGGGAATCAAAACGTTTTCATTGAATATCAATTAATAAATCAGCCAATCGAATTGACGAGATTTTTAGTTTACAAATCGGTTTCATACAAAGGAACTCTTTTGTCTCGTTATGCAGCACGCGACTTGAAGTCATATTTATTCGTGCAACTGAATTCATTTAGCAATATAATTTTACGACCACGAATTTACAGCATTCTATCCATAGATGTCGAGTGATTACAAAAGTATAATAGCCGATTCACTTTGAGAGAATGTAAAAGGAAACATTGGATGCATTGTAAAAAGAGAAAGACCGCATATATCAATACAATAAGGATAGATAGAAGCTTTTCTTCGCGTTGACTTTAAAATGATGAAGGTAAAAATTGCACCTTATTTTTGCGACAATAATCAAATAATATATTGCGAAGATTATCGACGAAAAGTACGACAAATTTTAATGACTTTTTCGAAAAAGATATAAAAGGTAATAGCAGCTCGAATCGTGAAAACCGTGAAAAATCTTCATTGCCAGTTCGAACGTGTCTAAATTCCGCGAGAGCAAGAAGAAAATGAAAAAGCTAGTGGGAGCTGGTAGGATTGTGTGTAATTTCATTTGGATCCAGTGGACGTCGCAATTTGAGAAACCAGGTGGTATCGTTTGATGTGTATGGACTGCGGCAGTAGAATTGCAGAGATGGCTGGTGATGGAGGACGGACCAGTGGGGTGCCAAGGGGAGGGGGAGAGGATGACTGGAGGCAGATAGGTGACAAGGGGATGGGCCTGCAGTGGGGACGGACAGAGAGAGAAGCATCGAGGGAAAGCAAGAAAGGGACGAATGGATAACGAAGAGGAAGAAAGAAAGGGATCGAGAGAAATACATGCAGGCTAGATAGAGAACGATCATTTCCCGTGGAAGGGGAACGTGGGAGAGAAGTGGAGGGAGGGAAAAGGGAGAGGGAGAGACTGGGTCCTTCACCCGACGAACGAACTGAACGAATAGCTCGTAGCCGGCGCTGCTACTTGCGTTTTGCTTACCGCTGGACTGCTTGGCTGCCAGTCTAGTTCGAACGATTATTATCGTACTGATCTGGCACAATGCACGAAACATTACATACAACGTTCTTACTACCGTTATCCAGCTTTTGACACCATGTATACACTATCGCCATCGAGAATCAACCACCACATTCAAAGTATAAAACTTTCAAGCTTCACTTCTCTTTAACACCTGTACCGTCTTTCGGAGAAGCTTATCCCCTGAACGAGATCTCATTTAGTAATTACTCCATGATCCGCTATGCTATACTAACGTGTATGTATCGTGTGAATACTCTGCAGAAGTCAGATATTCATACGACTCCTTTCAAGCTTGATAACATTCTACATTCGTTACGTGTCAGACATCCAGATGGAAATACGAATAGTTATTGTCGCGAAATAAAAGTTGCAATGTGAGCATGAAACAAGTTCTCTATTCCGAGAAATGATTGGACTTCTTAAAGGAAGATTATGCAAACGTGTTGGTACATGCGTCCATTCCTGAAAAATAGATAATACATGCTTATAGAATCCGACAGGAATAAAGCTGTCGTGAAAGAGATATCGAATGTCCTCTATGGACGATTTTCGAGCAAGCAATACCGTCGCTAAACTCGGCATTACGTGTACTATCATGGTCTTCGTTTCTTGAGAAAAGTATTCGTTAAACAACAAGAATGTATTAATCATTCTAGAATAGTCTATGCACACACTGGTTGTATCTAGAGATATTTTGTTTCCAAATTATAGATTATATAAAGAAACGTGATATATTTATGCATAAATATATTTCTACAATGAATGCAATTTTTTAAAATGATGAAATTATTATATAGGAACACTTATTAATTCTACATCTTAACGTCTTAAAATAATAACGTGAAACCTTGTAAAACTTCGTTCGTTATTATACTAACTCGATTTAGTATAATAATAATGTTTTATTCGCCGATGATTCACGTGTCTATTGCGCCAATGAAATCAACTATCTCGAACACAGACGAAGACATTTGGATATGGTCCACTTGAAATAATAACGTAAAATTCAATATCTTTTTTTCTCGATGGTCGTTACCCTATAGATAGCCAAAACAATGACAAATCGAATGGAAATTATATATTGATGGCTGATCAAACGTAGGTCACATCTACTTCTTTCGTGCGGAATATAAACGCAGACGAAACCGTGCTCTTTGATCGCGCTTCTAGGTCGATTTTCCAGTAAATAGGTTCAAAAGGAACTTGGTCCAATCTCGTTGATTAGTTAATGGCAATCAAAGCTGAAATTTGTACATTAGGCAATTATTTGCCCTGGAAACTAGCTATTACTAGATGGAATAGATTGCGGCAGCATAATATGGAAAGCAATCATATAATATATATATATATATTATTATATATTTATTATTCATTTCATTTATCTTGCTTCTATATGTTTTTTCAAATATTTTTCTGCCATTTTCTACTATAATAAGTGTCTTTATTATCAGATATATACAAAAAAATTAAAGAAACGAATTTTTACTCAAATCTATATCATTCTAAATCTATGTGCCATTAAACCATCAAAATTGGAGATTAGATTAATAATAAAGTTATATTTAAATATTTATAATTTTTATTAATGTATTTATATATATGTTAGGAAATATATTGTATTTTTACATTGTATTTTCTAACATTAAAACTTATATTTTTAGATTTTACTTGTTAAATATTATAAAAAAGCATAAAAATAATTAAAAATTTTGTAATCTCAAAACGAAGTTTAATTGCATTTTTTTTTATTCGTAATTATTTTTTCTACATCTTTTGTTCTATTTCGAAACAATATGCAACGAAAATACAAAACACTCCTCTACTCTTTCCTGTTTTTCCTTCTTCGTATTCTTTATTCTACATGCTTTATCGCGATTCCTGCTAGTGTCCCTCTCTGTCGAACCACGGCAAATTCGCATCGGCCATTAGCCAGTGCCAATAACGTACCAAGGCAGATGGGAGATGTGGTGAAGGTTTGGTGGTTAGTCCGACGTTGGTAGGGGAAAGGGATACTGACTGTCTGCAGGGCCGTGTTCATCGATCAACGCACCCTGCTCCTACAAAATCCTACGTTATTCGCACTCTCATTTATATTTATATTCATATTCATATTCATATATAAGATTTCATATATCATTTTTATAATGAAATTCATAATTCGATTTATAGCGATTTAAATAAAATAACATGACAATGATACAATGATGAATTACTCGCATAATTAAAGGGTAATTAGTTATTTTATATGATGAACCAAAAGAAATTCAGAAATATCTCGGAAACAGATATTGATATATATTTCTTAAGTAGATAATTCAAAGTCGAGTACTTGCATTTATTTATTCTATTCGATTAATTAGTATATTTGAACACGATCATTGTTCCATTTTGCCTTTGAACTATTCTTCTCTGTTATAATGAAACATTATTGCATTTGTATATTCTACTTTTTTCTTTTTTTTTTTTCTCCATGTATGTGCAATTTCATTTCTATGCAACTCCTGCACATCTCATAAATATATTGTTAAATGCAATTAGTTGATCATATTAAAAATACATGCGAAAATATGCGAAATATATTTTTCTTAAATCAAGAATTTCTTATCCTTGTATTTTTATTATAACATCTTAATTATAGGAAAAAATTAATAGAAAAAAATAGCAATCAGATCGAGAAAACATGTTAATTTTAATTAACAATTATTCTCTAAAAACTTTGCATGTCTATAATTATATTTTACAAAAATGAGAAAAATTAAAATATATTATTGAAATAATAAATCGATCATTCTTTTTATAAAAATATTAAAAAATTAATTTCAAATAAATGAAAAAAAGAAAAAATATGAAAGCAACACTAAATTCTGAGAATACATTTTCGTTGTAATATTTAATT